TCCTAGGCTTGCTTCACTACTCTAGTTACTATATCATTATATAAGATTCAAAAGATCCATTGATGGCCACTTCTCTTTAAGGTGGTCTTAAAATTGGAGTCACTTTAAGGTATCAGAAACTGGGAGATTGTGAGTTCTAGTCTCACTTTAAGCATCAAGCTGGCTGGAGGACCTGGGGCCTAGATTCTTCCTCAACCTGGATGCAGGCGATGGCAAACCACTTCTAAAATCTTGCCAAGAAACCTGCAAGGATTTGTCCAGACTAGCCCACCAAGGATGAGAGTCCAAAATCTTTTTCCTGGTGTGAGTGTCAATCAGGCAAAACTAAGAAAGAACATCAGATGGTTTCCTAATAATGGCAGCCACAGATTTATTGAAAGAACTTGTTACTGAAGGGTTAGTAAGAGGGATTGGCAGAAACTCAATCCTGCAGATGATGAGATGCTATTTTGGAAATTCAAAATAAATCTTTGCTAAGGCTGTTTGGGGACAAAATATTTATTTCGTGGTTTCAATGTCCCTTCCCTATCTTCACCTCAACACCCTACTCAATGCATGAAAATATCTGGAGGTGGAGATTAATGGAGTCTTAGTTTTAAAAGAAAGTGATGGGGTGGGATTTTGGCACAGCTAGTCTAGAGCATTACAGAGCATGATATGAGGAAATTGGGCATATTTATATATCTCTCTCTATCCAGGCACTTTGTAGAAAAATACCAGTTCTAGATGTTCCTGCCATCTCAGATGAGGTAGGAAGCTTCCAAAGAGAAGGCTTTTTCCATAGTGGCATATGGCGGGGGTATTTCTCTCCTCTGAGATTCTTAGCTAGCACAACTTCATGGATGTCTATGGAGATTCTCACTCATCCAGGTCATGGTTATCCCAAAGGTGTTTTTTCCAAAAGGCAACTGGACTTTCTTGGGGGGGAGGTTCCCTTTGAAAACGTTTCAGTTCTCATCCAAGAAGCTTCTTTAGTTTAAAGAAAGGCTGGAAAAGCTGCTTAAGAGGGCACATGTCACAGCCTTTCTTGTGTAAAAAGGCTATACAATCTGATGATACAGGTGAAGTAGCTAATCCACGAGGCTGATAAATGATCAAGTATATATAAATTTATTTCATTTGTGGGATACCTCCCTGGTTCAGGCATTTCTTCATCCAAACTTAGTACCGAGAAAAAATATCTCCAGGACCAACACTTCCCCACCATCCACAACCTCCCCAATTGCCTTGTTTGACCTTTCAGTTAAGGTTTCAATTAAGAAACCTTAAAAGTAAGAGCTTCAGTCAGAAGTGCTCCACAGTGAGTATCACGATCTCTTTATCGTCAGTCTCTGGAAATGGAGCCATATTGTTTTCTGATTGTATTTGGTTTGCTTTATCAGTTTAAGATTTTACAGCGCTATCTTCTATACAGCCAGTGGTAGGATTGGAAAATAGCATTATGAGGGACAGAGGTATATTTGAGAGTAGAGGGAATATTATGTTCCATATATTAGCCCTCTGAAAGAGAATAATTCAATATTAATAATACATGTTAGTATTTGTAGAACACCCTTTCTCTTCCTTCTTAATCTAGTGGTTTTAACCTCCCCACAACAGATGTTGCTTAGGAGGAGAGCACCTATTTTAAATTTCCAGAGGATGGTTCAGATGATCCTGGAATATGGAATTTACTCCTTCAAGTAAAATCTGATGAACAGCATATGCAGAGAGTCGTTTTTGAGATGAGGTACCTCTCTCTCCCACACTATCTGGGCAAAGTTGAAGTATTAAGTTTCCCAATTCTGAAACAAGAAATGCCAGAAGTAGAAGCAAATCCCTTATGCAAAACTATGAAAATGTAAAGCAAAGAAAAATTCTCCAAAAATGCTGCCTCTTTGCCCTTTAGGCACCCCAAGCTCCACCCATAGGCTGGAAACAAGCAACTAATCCATGATGCAGCAGGATAGACGAGTAGAGATAAAGTTATCTTTAGAGGCCAGACAGTGTGGTGAAAAGAAGCATCAGCCAGGATAATAACCAAGGAGTTCCAACGGAGTGTCAAGATCTTGGGGCTTGTCAGTTTACCCATCCTAGTCTATTCAACTCCACTCTCAGCAATAAAAAAGTATTTCCACCATGCCCACCCTAATCTGAAAAGGTTTTTCTGGTTCCTCACTCAAGCTGTAAACTCTTTTTTATGTGACTACTGTATCTGGATGCAACTGACATCACCAATGTTCTTTAAAGAGGAAAAAACACTGCTCCTCCTTATGGTTGGGAAGACTTCATGGTAGTGAAGATACGGTTGAGATACTTCAGAGCAGTTGCCATAATCTAGAAACAACTACTACACAAAGTACCAAGACTCAAATCTCTAGCTGGAGTAAGTCCAGGAACACTCAATCCCATATTTTATCTAATCAATGATTCATAGCTAAATTGAGGATTGGATCATTCCCCATATATAGAGTATTTTTGAAAAAGAATAGAATGCACGGATGGAACTCCTTTATTGTGGAATTCTTTGTAGCAATGGAGACCTACTGAGAATCTGATCATTACTGTGACGGAGTGTAGTAAGGAGGTGGATTCCCAAAAGGGTGCATTGCAGAGGAATAAGAGTCAACTCAGTCCAGATATTATATGTGAAAGAGGATGAAGACAGCCCCTCCCTAATAGTTCACAGAATATATTGTAGATGCAGATAGCAGAGTTCTCAATCTGGCAAGATTTTGTCTATAGG